TGACAAGGCATCCCGAACATTAAGTTAATAAAAATAAGAGCTTTATGATAAATATTCATACTAAGTAGGTTTTCAAAACATTGTGAGAAAATTCAACTATTAGTCCTTCATCATAACCAAGGGTGATTAGAACTTTAGAACAAATTTTAAAGTGAGTTAGCATAAAATGATAGTTATACAAAATAAACTCTGCATAATTATTATTTCTCAAGTTCGCATGAACCTCAAAAGAAAGTTGTGCTAAGAGGCAAGCAATTTATCCAATTGAGTACACAGCAAAATCGCTTTCCTGCAAATTTGCATGAGTAAAAAAATATATCAAGCCTTGAAAGACCAAAACTCTAGAATAAATAGTTTTCTTGAGAGATACGTACTATTAAGCTCTGTAATTTCTCGCACAGAAGTATGGTAAGCCGTTAGAAGCTCCTGCTTCATCCAGTTTTCCTGCCGAAGAGTGTTTGCAAGACGCTCACGCTCCTCAGTCGCATTCTGCAGACACGACTCGAGATAGGCACGTCGCTGGAGCTGCTGTTGTTGTTGATGTTGCTGAGTTTGACGCATGTGTACGTGGTTTCCATGTAAATGAGGATTTGTCAAAATGGGCTTAGTTTGAACTGAAACCAGTGTGCTGATGTGACGAGGGATGTTTGCAGTCTGTAATGAAGTTCCCGTTAGAGTGTTGGTAACCTTCGCTTGAGTTGTACCAGGCGAATGCTGACCTACAGCATGCGAAACTATGTTCGACACTGGCGCACCAGGCACAGATTTCTTTGTTTTGCCACTACCGCATGCCTGAGTCTGTCTAACACGAGAGGATTGTTGTGACCCACGTAACCTTTCTTCCTTGGCGCGGAGGTTAGACTGCAGCTGGCGTACCTCAAATTCAAGGCGCCGGCGACGCTGTCGACAGATGACCTCATCCAGGCCACAAGGACAGTAGGTTGAGCCAGCTGAGCAAGTAATATTGGCTCGGGCAGAAATTGAAGTGCTAGCAGAGATAGTGGAGTGCACTGACTTGCCAGCGATAGATGATTCTGACGAAGGAAGCACAGCAATAGGGCCTGACTGTGTACTCCTTAAGGGTTCGTGAGTCAAAAGCAGAATATGGACGGCAAATGTAGCGATGAGGCAGAAGATTCATTATACAAAGTTAAGTGAAAATACAAAGTGAAAATAAAATCAGCAATGCCTACAAGGCTTAATAGCAAGACAAAAATAATCGTGGTAAGAAGACCTGGATTATGCAGCTTTTAGTTAGTACAAGTCTCTTTCTGCTCTGTAGTGTTTGTTTGACCTCGTTTTTGCAACTTGGTTGGAGTAACAGAGACCACGTTAAAGGTACTTAGTTTTGCGTCTTCTGTCGTAGTATTCATGATAATTTTGGGCATCGGGCCGTTTATTTAGTACATTCCCAAGCGTTTAGCCTAAATTGAAATCGGCATTGTCGTTAAGAGGCGCTAATTGTGACTTGTCACTGAAACGTTGTAGCTATGTGCTATGGATGCCGACTACGATGTGGACAAAACGTATGGGAATGTATCAAATCAACGGTCGGATACTGGAAATGATCATTAATATTATGGCAGACGCATGATTTGGTATGCTCCACAAGGTCTCCCCGTCCGCCCGACCAAGCTCCAAAAACTAGATCGAACCAACACTATACAGCTGAAGGAAAATACGACCAAACAAAAATCCACTCCATATTGGTGTGCATATTTGCCTATTTTGTGACCTTAGTTATTTCAGCTTTACTCTAAAGGCTTTAGATGATGAAAGAATACGGATGTAGCCCTAGCTGCTTTC